GAGCCTGAGCCTATAGTATCTGGGGGTGGGGGGTGGGTTTAACCTGAGGTCTCACACAGGCTAGACAAGAGACCTAGCACTGGGCTCACCCCAGTTCTTGGATTTGTAAGTCAGGATCTCAGACAGCCCAGCCTGGTCTCCTGGGTTTGAGATCCTCCTGTCTTGGCCTCTCAGATGCAGGCATCACAGCATTTCACACCTGTGCCATCACACTTGGCTTGAGAAGTTATTTTTAAACCCTGTAAATTTCATTCGTTCATTCAACTTCAAACACGTTTTTTTTTTCATTGATTGTTAGGGGCACTGTTCCCTCAAAGGCTTTAAAATAAGCACCCTAAATAGTTCTGAAAGAAACGACTGAACATGAGGTCCTTGCTGCACAAGAGCTGCATGCTGCAGTGCCAATAAGAACCCATTAGGGCTGCGCTCCCGGGATGAACCCAGTGCTGTTAGCATAAGGGAACTGGAGGTGTCAGAGAACAATCAGACATGATCCCAGCTCCATGGCGGCCACTGTGCGGCTCTCTAGAGAATCAGCTGCTGCAAGATATTTGAAAACACTGTGAACCCTGGGTTGTGTTATTTACTGGAAAAACCTGGTTTTAGTTGTAGTGTGATCAGCCTTGGCACACACCTTTAATCCAAGAGCTTTCTGCTTGAATACTGTAAGCAAGATTAAGTAAAGTCAACCCTAGATCAAGAGGCAGAGCAAGCAACCAGTTGACAGGAAGTGAATAGAGGAAAAAGCCATACAGAATAAGGGGAAATCAAGGCAACAGGTAGAGGCACACATAGGAAGAGAGGGACATTGTATTTGAAGGTTTTTTAGAGATGGTGTGAGAAGGAGAGGATTCCTGGTGGGATATTGGCTGAGGAGGAAGGTCAGCTGGGTGCTCTCTCTGCCTATGAGACAGCAGGCTTTCTTCCCAGCATCTGGTTCCTGAGTCTTCATTGGTAACAACGAACAATTGAAATTTTGTTATAAAATAACATGCTACACCTCAGAAGTCAGAGTCTACTGGAGTTCGCAATCACCGGCATAAGGAAATTGATCTAAGCCTAGTTTTCTCAACACTAAGCAATTTCCCTGGGAAAAGGTAACTTTTTGGTTTAATAAAAAAAAAGAAAGAAAGAAAGCAATTGTTTTAAGATTCTGAGACTTAGCTGTTTTATAAAACAGATGAATCATCAAATGTTCTTCTTACCAATGAAGCCAAGCTGGGAAAACTCTAGAATCATCCATTCTTCTGAAGAAAGTTGAAGTGCAAAATTTTTTATGGTATTAAAATAGTTTTGTTTGACAATAATATCATCTTCAAGCTAGAAAAGAAAATTGACCAATCATATTTAAAAGTCAAAAGGAGAAGGAAAGGGATAAATGACCATTATTATGGACAAATACACAAGCGCGCTCCAGAAATCATGAAAACTATGGCTAAAACCAATTAAAATATAAAAACAGATGCTGTCAAAACAAAAGATATACCCTGCAGATCAACTCCCTAGTGTGAGGACAAAAAAAGCCAGCACCTTCCCTCAGCTACCTCCCACCTGACTAGTTGAGAAGAACATGAAAATTGGGCATCTGTCCGTTTCATACCTTCTATGTTGATACAGATGCCTCTGCAAACTTCTGTTTCTGTCTCTCTGTATCTGTCCATCTGTCTCTATCTCTGTCTTCCCTTATCTCTCTGTCTCCCTGTCTCTCTCTCTCTCACACACACACACACACACACATACACACAGACACACACATACACACACTGGGGATAGAACCCAGGGCCTAGCTCAAGCTAGGTAAGGGCTCTACCACTGAGCCACACCCCTAGAAACCCCTTTTATTTTTTTTTAATTTTTATGTGTATGTATGTGTCTCTGCATGAGTTTAAGCGCGTCACGTGTGCAGGAGCCCGTGGATGTGAGAAGGGGCACTGGCTCCCCTGGAACTGGAGTTGCAGGAGTTAAGAGCCACTGTGCGGGGTGGGACCGGCAGCACCTGTCAGTGTTCCTGCAGGCAATCAGCACACTCTTAGTCACTTGCTATACAACCCCCCACCCCACCCCCATGTGTTTTTTTTTTTAACAAAGTATCAAAGAAATTTTACTCAAAGCTAAGTGATACTACTGATCAGAAATTCATTGTCAAGAATGTCAGTGGGCCACATGAGTGAAGAGATTCAAGGCTCTAGTTATTATTGCCTGGGGCTGCCTTTACATGGTACATGAAAAGGAGGAGTCTGATTGCCGAAGGGGAGAAGCAAGGGTAGCTCTCTGTCTTGATTGACAGATTAAGGTCTATAGTCATTTCTCTACTGTGCACGTCCTGTCCAATGATGTGTCTGATTTTGATCACATGCATGCCCAATTACACACAGGCCTCAGATGTGAACAGGGGATTTTCCATAAGAGTTTACTTAATGACACAGTTTCACCTTACTGTATGTGTACCCCATACACAGGTCAGCTCAGACCGACCTCTATGTTATGAGTATGAATGGATAGAATCTGTCAAAGGGGAGAAGAAACTCACTTCACTGTTCCTGTGGGGTGTGCGTACAGCAGGTTGGGGTCCTAGGTTGCTCACAGGTTTTGGGGTAGAGTGATAGCAAAGGAGCTTGTGTGCAAGTATGTGCACATAAGTGCCTCAGGCTGTCCAGTGCATTACTATTAGGAGTGTATGCTCAAACCAAGTAGAGTCCCAGGTCACTAAACTATTCCCTACGCTTGCCTGCATCATTATTGGAATATACAAAGCACTTTGGGACACACTGAGACAAAAAAAAAAAACTTGACACTTGAGTGGAAATCTGAACATCATACTGAATGAGGGAAATGCCTGTGAAAAGTGACAGAGCCCTGGATCACCTACCATGAGAGCATGAGTTGACGCTGGGTAATTCAGCCCTTTAAGAAATGGTTTGACAAGGCCACTGCAAAACATCCCAAGTCACAGGCATAACCCCAGGCTGGTTGGTATTTTCTTTAAGCATAAACCCTTGATGATGCAATTGACCTGGCTTTGCCCCTCTTTTTTTAAATTACCTTGTATTTTTCCAACGCTGGCAAATGAATACAGGGTGGTGTGTGGACTGGCCAGTTGGCCAGTACTTTCCCCTTGGACTTCCTCCTGCCCACAAGCATCCTTTAGAAGCTGGGGATATGCAACCCCCATGTTTGCAACCATGGTGCCACAGCCCTAGGAAGCATCTATGCCGAGTGAGATAAATTCCTTTGATTCCCGGTCTCTGGCCCTGTTTTCCTTGGATTTCCCTAGGTGATCCCTTTCCTTTGCAAACATTTCAAGCCCTCAATCTTAAGGCTTTTGAAGCTAGTGTGGTGTCCAGCCTAATAACTCTGTAGATAGACGGCAATGAACTCACTGAGAGTTGTCTCATGCTGCCAAACTATGAAGACCAGAATATACAGCAACTTTGTTTCCTGAGGAGCAAGCTTTGGGGAAATGGATCATTTTTAGAAAAACATCATTAATCTTTGGAGAGCTGAAAATTTAGACACAGTCTAAATGGCCAACAAACGGTGATGGCGCAGAATTGTGTTTTGAGGCTGTGTGTGTGTGTGTGCGCATGCGAGCATCCCTGTTAGAGATTTAAGACATCAGCAAAACAATGAAATGGCAAACTCCAGACCTTCCTCTATCCCCAGAGATATGGCTTTAAAACCAGATTGTACAGCAGCCAGAGCCCTCCCCTGGGCATGGTTCCCAGGCTCTTGACTTCTCGCTCACCAGAGACACTAATTCCAAGTGTCCAGAGCTGTTAACTTTCTGGCCTGCATTCTGATAGTGTTGTTTCTGTCCTGTTTCAAACATGGCCGGCACCTAGCAGAGGCCAGGAGTGAAGGCCAGGACTTGGTGCCAGCGACAGCAGTGCCACAGGTAAGTGTTGAGGAGCACTCCATCTGAGAAACCCAGAGAGACGCAGGACTCCCACGCACACCCCAGACACAGTGATTTTTGAAGCATGTACAAGACCTGTGTAAGCTCCTCCCAGACAGAAGACCCGGATAAAGGGAAAGGTAGGCATGACTCCCCCTGACGCGTTACCACTAGCTAAGGAGCTACCGGCATTCTCTAGCTGCTGAGAGAGAACATGGCACTGTAATGATGTGACCCTCAGTGAGTCCACTACAGGCCCCACTCCCAAGACCAGTTGGTCAACACAAATCAGATTCAGTGAGTTTACAAAGAAGACTCAGTTGGGGGAAGTGGGGAGGCAAAGGTGGAGAGAGTGGTTATGAGCAAAGGCATGAGGTGGCATGTTCAAAATACATTTCATGAAACTCAAAGAACTAATAAAAATGCTGTTTTTAAACAGGACTCTGGGGCTACTTAGCTGGGTCAGTGGTATAACCCACTTGCCACTCATCCAGAGAAAGAAGGTTCAGTTCCCGGCACCACATAGTGGCTCACATTCATCTATAACTCCAGTTGCAGGGGCCTGCCTGATGCCCTCCTCTGACCTCAGGTGGTACCAGCACATATGCAGTGCATGCACATACATGAATGCACTCATACAAAGAAGAAAATATATACATATATATATATTTTTTTTTTTTTTTAAGTAAAGACCAATATAGATGCAGATGCTTGCAGCCAACCATCAGACTGAGCATGGGAACTCTAATGGAGGAGTTAGGGGGAGGAGTGAAGGAGCTGAAGAGGTTTGCAACCCCATAGGAAGAACAATATCAACCAACCAGACCCCCCAGAGCTTCTAGGAACTAAAGCACCAACCAAAGAGTACACATGGAGGGTCCCATGGCAACAGCTGCATATGTAGCAGAGGATTTCCTTATCTGGCATCAATGGGAGGAGAGGCTCTTGGTCCTGTGGAGGCTCGATGCCTCAGAGTAGGGGAATGATAGGGTGGTGAGATGGGAATGGGTGCGTGGGTAGGGGAGCACCGTCATAGAAACAGGAGAGGAGGCACAGGATAGGGGGTGTGCAGAGGGGAAACTGGGAAAGAGGATAACATATGAAATGTAAATAAAAAAAAATAACCAATTAAAAAAAAAAGTAAAGGGCTCCAGAAGTTCTTGCTTGTGGGGCGGTGAGCTATGAGAAAAAGCCAGGAGTCTGGTCGAATGAGCTTTTGAACCCCAGGGTACCCGCTGGGATGGAAGGCGTTCAAGCTCTTCCTAGGCCTCTGGCTCTCTTAGCTTCAGCCCTCCACAACCCCTCCCACAGAGAGGCCCATGGCCATCGGTCACATAGGAGTACTGCCCCCACATGCAGATGAGGCATCCCCAAGCTCTCAGTCCAAGCCAATAGGGGTTAACTGCCGCCGGACCTTAACTCACCCCAAACTGTACATATAGGCCCAACTCAGAAGTAAAGTATGTGCGAGATTCATCCCATTGTCTGAGAGCTTCTGTCACGGTCCCTCTCCTCCTTGCCAGCCAGCCAGTGCCTCACCAGGGTACTTCAAAGAGCTGTAACACTTTTCAAAGAGATGTAACACTTTTCCCCTCTCCATGGTCGGTCGGTGGCAGAGGCAACAGTGGACTCTCCCTGTCTGCACTCCATCCCTCCAGGGCCTCTCGTGGACAGAGGCAGCAGCCGTTTGCACCCCATCCTCAGCCAAGCCAGAGATCCTCGTGGGACCCCATCTGGAGCCGGACCCCCACTTGCTGACATCATCAGAAGCAGGCCTTCCAGTATACAAGGATGGGGCTGGGACTGGGGGATGGCTATTTTCCCAAATGCCAAAATTCCAACAGTAACAATAACAATGACCCTGTGGTGAGGCGACACAGTAACTCACAAAGAGTGGGCAACTAAAGAAAATGTACACTCGTTAAATAAGGACATCAACAGAGACAGAAATGATGGGGTAGAATCGGACGGAAACTGGAGCTGAAGAATACAAAACCCAAATGAGAAACTTCACAGCAGACCAGGCCAAGCAGAAGAAGAGTCAGCAAAGACAGAGTTTACAAAACTAATGGTGCAGAGGAAAAAAAGGACAAAGGACAATGAAGACAGCCCACAGAGCCTGAAAACACCATGAAGAGAACAGTGTATGCACATTTACTTCAAGAAGGGCAAAGGAGCTACCTGAAGAAATACTGGCTGAAAACTTCCCAAGAATATAAAGGCAAATGAATGTCCAGGTTCAGCAAGCTCAGAGACTTCACTCTGATTAATAGAGAGAACTGCACCAAGGAAAGATAGTACAGTCAAGCTGTCAGCATCCTCAGAGAGAGGAAGGCTACCACAAGCAGAGAGAGGTCACATGCATACATACGCATACATGCACACACGTATGCACATAAATATATACACACTCACACACACATGCTCATGCACGATCACACACACACATGCTCATGCACGATCACACACACACATGCACACACGTATGCACATACATATATGCTAACACAATGCAAACATGCTCATGTACATGTGTACACATGTTCGTGCATGATCTCGCTTTCTCTCTCACATACATATACACACATACACACACATACACACATACACACACACAAGCTCCTAATTGACTATTAGCAGATTTCTCAGCAGAGACATTGCAGGCTGGTGGTGGATTTGAAATTGTAAAATCAAAACAATTATCTACCAAGAATACCATACCTGCCCAGCAGAACTGCCACTTGAAGGTATAAGAGAAATTAAGACTTTCTTATAAGCTCAACATTATTCCTTCTGCCTGACTTGCTGAGGGGAGTCCTTCATCTTAGAGAAAAAGGGTATAAAAACCAATGAAAGACCTTACAAGAATGTAAAATTATCTGGTAAATGAAACATTCGGGCACATATAGAATCCTGTAGTAAGGTAACATTTGTGTGTGAGTCACTTTGGTTTCTGGGTAATGACACCAGGGCCAACAGTCATCAGTAGCCTATACAACAGAAATGTGGGCCTCTGAAATATCTTGTAGATTCTATGTTGTCACTCATGATAAAAGCTCAGTTGCCTGGACCATGTTTGGGCTAAACTATAACTCAAAGTATACAAAACCATTATGTGTTTATATCCATGGATGTGCCGTATGAAAAGAGGCAGGGGACCTAGGGGTGCGGCTCAGCTGACACAGGCTCTCCTAACATGTGATCCCAGCATGTGGGAGGGTCAGGAGTTCAAGGTCAGCCGTGGCTATACAGTGAGTTCATGGTCAGCCTAGAACATGTGAAATACATAAAAAAGTTTATAAAGAGGCAATTTGTGTCAATAACAAGGAAGAGACAGAGAACAGATATAACAAAGGTAATTTCCATGGCTTGAACTGAAGGTAAGAGATTAGTGTTAGATCAACTGTACTTACTAGGTTTCAAGTAACTACAAAGAAAATCAAAGTACACGAGTATTAAAAAAATCAGTAGAAACTAAGTATGTTTCTGTAAGTATGTGAGCAAAACTTTAGTTATGAGTAACAAAGGAGAAGAAAGGACTCAAAATTATATAGGAGAGGACATAAAAACTCATGTCACAGAGTAAAAACATTTATAATTATGAGAGGCTGCCACAGGTATGTGCCAGTGATCTGAATTAGCGTAGAAGAAAAAATACATTCCTAGAAAGATGCAGCTCACCTAGACTGAAGTACAGACAAATAAGTTTACACATGGCTACAACAACTAAGAAAATAGGGGCTGGAGAGATGGCTCAGTAGCCCAGAGCACTGGCTGCTCTTCCTGAGGTCCTGAGTTCAATTCCCAGCAACCACATGGTAGCTCACAACCATCTGTAATGGGATCCTATGCTCTCTTCTGGTGTGTCTGAAGACAGCAACAGTGTACTCATATACATAAATAGAATAAAAACATCTAAGAAAATAAAAGCAAAAAGAAAAGCAAAATAAAACAAACAACAACAAAACTTCTTGAAGGTCTGGGGATGTAGCTTTGGTTGGTAGAACGCTTATCTGGCAAGCATGGAACCCTGGATTTTATCCCCAGCACCACATAAAACTATGTAGCAGTAAACGCCCATAATGCCAACACTCAGAATGTGGAGAAAGAAGGATTTGGGTTCCAGATCATTCTTGGCTATCTGCTAAGCTCAGGGCCAGCCTCGGCCACATAAGACACTGTCTAGGATGATGACACCAACAAAACCCTCCATGACTTCCTTACAAGCTGAGTAGAAAGTCCATGACCAGAGAAATTCACTGAAGAATTTTGAGTAACATTAAAGATTTAACTGATTTTTTTTTCTCAGTCTCCCAAGAAGATGACACAGAGAGAATTCCTTCACACACAGTCTGTGAGGCCAGCATTCCCCTGAGGTGAAAATCCAAAGCTTCCCTCTGCTCACCAATAGGCAGGGCTGCCCACTAACTGTCAGCAGAACACTGGAAACCCCCGTTGCAGCCATCAGACATCCAACAGTTAAAAGTATCTAAGGACATTGAATTTGCCATCTAACTGTGTTGCATCTTACACACACACACACACACACACACACACACACACACACACTGTGTAAGTGCACTCAGCCCAGGCTCCCCTGGACCTTGTCATAGTCCAGGTTGACTTCAAATTACAGATCCTCTTGCCTCCTAATATTGGGACAGTAAATTTGTGTCACTACGTTCAGGTAAATTTGTAAAACATGATGCTAGTGTCACTTCCCTGTGACAGGCCTTATGTAACTCCACATAAAAACCACTATAGATAATAAATGATTTCAGCAAAATTACAAGATAAAAAAAAAATCAACACATCATCCCTTCTACTCAGTAACAATAACCAATGCCCCAACTCAAATTTCGTTTTATCTTAAGGTGGCCAATGGTGGCACAAGCCTTTAATCCCAGCACTTGGGAGGCAGAGGCACGCAGATCTCTGAGTTCAAGGACAGCCTGGTCTACAGAGTGAGTTCCAGGACAGCCAGAGAGCTACACAAAGAAACCCTGCCTTGAAAAAACAAAACACTCCCCTCCCCCCGCCAAAGAATAAAAGCAAAACTCAAAACCAAAAAAATCATTTTAATCTCATTCAGGAGACTGCTTAAAAGGCTAAAATCCTTAACAATAACTTAAGGAAGTGACAGACTTATCCCACAAGCGCTGCGTGCTTATAACCCCAGAAGTGGGGCAACCCCAGGTTTGAGGCCAGCCTGCTGTACGAGCTCAGCTACCTGAATTTAAGCACTATCAGCCATGTCAACAACCCAGTTAGGGCAGGAGGAACTGTGTGGCTTGCTAGCCAGCCATGCTAGCTGAGCTGACAAGTTCCAGGTTCTGTGAGAGACTTGGCCTCAAAAAATAAGGTAAAGATTAATTGAGGAAGACCCCAACATTGACCTCCGGCTCCTAAAGTAAGCACACACATGTACCGTACACATACATATGACCTATACACACTCACACATACAAGAGGCTTTCAGGCCAGAAGAGATGCTCTCTAATCTACCTTCCCATCTTCCATGTCCATGTGAACATTTTAACATACACCTCTGAACCCAAACATTGCTAAACTATATACAGAATGCCAAATCTATTCTGAGCGATATATGCCTGACTTTTACATTTGAAATGTTCTATAAGCGAAGTACGTTTCTTTTTCTATTTTAATAAATGTATTTTACTTAAAAAAAAAAAAAGAAAGAAAAAGAAAGAAAAGAAAGAATTAATACCACCAAACAAAAAAGCTGAGCAAGACAAAAGAAACCGCAAACACCCTGTAAAAACCTAACTCTGACCTGAATGTAGTAGACGCCCTTCTCCTGAGCATACATCATCAGAAAACAATAATCCAGATTCTGCTTGGTTCTCCATCTGAAATAAACAGCATCAGAGAATACATTAGGACTCAGACGCAAAGTCAACAAACTCAGATCATACGCCTGAACTTCGTGTCTACTGTAACACACCCAGATAAACTCAGACACACATGAGAGACGGTCAGAGAGTGGCTTCCTCCAGTGCAGCCTTTATTACTGTGCATCTTAAGAAGACTAACCCTCCAGATACCTCGTGCACAGAGGCTCTCCACTGAAGGAAATTTGGTCAACCCTTCACACACATCCCCTTCTAGAGACAGAGCAGCATAAACGACGCTAACACACCCAGCAGTGAGCACACTTGCAGCGGTGCTGATGAATGAAGCCATGGCTCCGTGCATAACACTCTGCTAAGCTACAATCCAGCATCTTCCAGACTGCCTCATCCCACAAGCCTTTTTCTTCAGTAGTATCGGTAGTATCTTAACGTCTCCTTGAATTAGAGCTTGGCCAAGTCTGCCTTAGGAGCATGAGGCTGGTCTCTAGAGTGATGAACGGAATACTGCTACAATTGATAATTCGTATTGAATGCCGTCCTCACCTTACTCTTTCCTTGGAGTCTCCGAACGTCTCCTTCAGGTTTGTCAAGTCTGGGTAATAGCTTTCAGGAGGAGAGATTATTTCCAGCAGGCCAGAACTAATTTCTCTAGAAAACCTACGAAGACAAAGGTTAGCTGTTATTATGTTAGCTAGCTCTGTGGGATATCACTTGCCTCAATGCTTAATTTACTGATTTAACATGTAGCAGAAATCCTAGGTAAACTGCAGGTAGTGCCATCTTACAAGCAATCAATTTCCAAACTTAAGCAAATCAAGGTCCCACAGAAAGCAGGGAACTGGAGGGGTAAAAAAAGCAAACAAACGAATCTGTATGCTTACCCAAAATATATTATTTATGAAAAATCACAGTTCTTGGGTTTTTCTGGGCTGGTGAGATGGTTCAGTCACTAAAGGTGACTGCCCCCAAGCCTGGTGGATAGACTGAGTTCAATGCCCAGAAGCCACACTGTAGAACTAGAGACTTAGCAAATGTGTCTCAGAACTTCACATGCACGCCTTGGCACATGTGTGCATATACTAACAAAGGAATGAATGTGAGTTCTTCAAATTTAAAAACACAAAGCTCTTCAGTATTCAGGAAGCTTCAGTTGTAGGCTGCAGGCTCTGTGTCATTCCAATTCAGGGTTTTTAAGCTGAGGGCAACTTGATCCCTCCTGGGTATATTCAGTGGGACCTGGAGACATTTTGGTTGTCACAACTAGTGACAGTTCTACTGGCATCTAATGAGCAGATGCCAAGGGTCCTGACAAACGTCCTATTATGCCAAGAGCCTACAACCAAAAATCACCTAGGCCGATCACTGGTGCCTGGGCTGAGAAAGCCTTTCTGAGGCTCTCAAGTCCATTTTCACTAACTAAATGTAGTTTCTTTCATGTTCCACATCTTGTCTCATTCTTGCAAACCTTCACTCAGAGCTCGTGTCATGCTCTTACTTCCAGCTTTATTTTCCCTGCACATCAATGGAGCCTGTAGAACTAACTGCCCCTGAGGCCCATGGGGAGGGGAACGAGTCATTATCACCCTGCTTTAAGGAGCCTCCACCAGCCTGTCTCTGCAGACTGCCAAGAGTGTATGTAGCGCCTGAGGACATTTTAAACACATGATAACTTGACCCTGAGTATACACAGCATCTTTTTAAATCTCCAGCTTCCATATTTTGATTGACAAGGAGAAATTATTTTATGTGTGGAGCTAGCAAATAACTATGGCTTCTAACTAAGACAAAGATAATAGTCATGAAAACAGTTTCATTTCTGTACTTCAGAAAACTTACTCTTTCTCCAGGTTGGCAACAACGCTGTGAACATAATCAAGATCTGTCTGGGAAAGAGAGAAAAGGTATGGTTTTTATTTCACTTTGCAAAAGATTTTTATTTTATGTGTGTTAGCCCGCCTGTATATATGTATATGTACTGTGTATGGGTGTGTATGAGTGTGTATGGGTGTGTGTGTGTGTGTGTAATACACATGCATGTTACTCTTGGAGGCCAGAAGAGGGCATCGGATCCCCTGAAATTGGAGTGACAGATGCTTATAAGCCATGGAGCGAGTGCTGGGAGCTGAACTTGGATCCTCAGGAAGAGCAGCCAGTGCTCTTAACTGCTGAGCCATTTCTTCAGCCCCTTCAACTTCTAACCCCAGACTCAAAGTGGGCCAAATGATGGATCACACACAGGAAACACCATGTGAACTATTTAGATACTTGCTCTATGGAACAGCACCTCTTAGATATTATTACAGTAAGCAAACATGTACATTTTATTATTTGATTTACTAGAAAAAGTGAACACGAAGCAATTCATGCTCTCCCGAAGCATGTGAGCCTGAAGCGTGCATGTGCACAGTGGGGAAGCAGCCTGCTGTGAGACTTGCAACCATGAAACCAGAACTGAGACTTGGGATTCACCTCTGCAGCTATACCTGGGTTGCTTCTCTGACCTTTTATGTTCTCTTCTATTAAGAAGAGAGAGAGGCGAGAGGGAAGACACCTCAGGGACTATATTAAATAAACCTATATAATGAAAAGTAGCACCATACTATATTATTATATTGATAATGAGAACTCAGATCAGGAAGATGATAACCACAATTTGAAATAAAGGGTATGTTTCAATTATAAGCAATTAAAAATCTAGGCTGGGAATGTAGCTCAGTGGTAGAGCCTTTGCCTTACATGAACCAAGCCCTAGGTTTGATCTGCAGTACCACCAAACACACACACACACACACACACATACACACACACACACACACACACACACACGAACACACAAACACACACACAGACACATACACACCAAAACAGCTAAAGTCCAATATGATTGTCTTAGTCAGGGTTACTATTGCTGTGATGAAACACCACAACCAAAAGCAAACCAAGGAGGAAAGGGTTAATTCAGCTTACACTTCCAGGTCACAGTCCATCACTGAAGGAAGTCAGGGCAGGAAGTCAAACAGGGCTGGAACCTGGAGGCAGGAGCTGATGCAGAGGCCATGGATGGGTGCTGCTTACTGGCTTGCTCCTCCTGGCTTGCCCAGCCTTCTCCCTTATATAATCCAGGATCTCCTGCCCAGGAGTGGCCCCACCCACAATGGGTTGAGTCCTCCTGTACTGATCGCTAAAATGCCCTATAGACTTGCCTACAGTCTGGTCTTATTGAGGGCCCCTCCTCTCCAGTGACTCTAGCTTGGGTCAAGTTGACATAAAACTAGCCAACACAATTCTCTATCCACTTGAAACTCAGTGACAACTTAAATATTATCAACTACTAAGCACAGGAGCACAGACCAAACCCCTTTCCTCTCCCCTCAGATGAGCCCAACTGCCAGTGATCCATTATTAAATAACCACCCACATGCTTGACTGAAGAGTATCTGAGGCTATGATTTTGGAGACTGTAACCAACCATAGTTTACATAGACCACAGTACGCTCAGAAACATCCTGAAACTCAGTTTGATGGATACTTGATAACTATGGTGATAGGGCTATCTAACACAAAGGAATACCAAGAGGCAAAGCCTGCCCTGTGTTCCTGGCAGGCTGATCTGAAGCCGAGAGCCAGCAAGAATTTCCTGTGAACACAGGTCTGTTCCATGCACTTTAAGCCAGTTTATGAGCAATATAAAACACAACCGTACAGAACACCTCCCATCACCCTTACCTATTATCGTATCTAGAGAAAATTTGTTTAAACAACTGTGACTAGTATCTTTTGGGATGGAGAGTTGAACCCTTCTGGTATCTACTGGAGATGGGGGCTGTGTGGAACTCCTCTGAAGAAAGCTCAACCCATGAGCAGTCTGAAAGCACTGGGCCACATTAGCCAGGTCTTTACAGTAGGACTCCTGGCCCCTCCCTCTGTGGCTAGGGTCATACGGCTGGCCACTCAGAGCTGCTCACTGAGTTGAGCATTTTGCCTAAGACATTTTAAACAGCACATCTGTAATAAAAGAAGCGTAACCATTCATCTGTGAACTGAAAAGTGGGATATGCATATCCCAGGAACTGGGGTGCTGGAACAGTGGAGAATTAAATAGGCATAAGAGGCAAAGAAGGGCTGGCGAGGGCTTAGTCAATAAGCACAAGGACCAAAGATTAGATCCCCAGAAAGGGGCAGAGGAACAGGTACAGCAACACTCAAGTCCCAAAGCTCAGGATGAGAAGGCAAGAAGAGCCCCAGTCTCACTAAATAACCAGGCTAGTGAGCTCCAGGCTCTGTGGCAGAGCCTACCTATCTTTAAAAGTTAAGGTGGAGGGGCTGGAGAGCTGTCTCAGAGGTTGAGAGCACTGACTGCTCTTCCAGAGGTCCCGAGTTCAATTCCCAGCAACCAACCTTATGTGGTTCTTAACCATCTGTAATGAGGTCTGGTGCCCTCTTCTGACATGTAGACATATACACAGGCAGAATACTGTGTATATCATCATCATCACTTTAAAAAGCTAAGGTGGAGTGTGACAGAGGAGACACCTGACTTTAACCTCTGGCTTATACATGCCCTTTAAACCTAGGACTTGGGAGGCAAAGGCAGGTGGATCTCTGTGAGTTAGAGGCCATTTTAGTCTACAGAGGTCCAGGCCAGATAGGACCACATAGTAAAATCTTGTTGGAGTGTGGGGTGGAAGAAGAAGGAAAGACATCAAGCAAACAAACTCAAAAAGAGATATTTCTTCTATGTGTTGATATGGATGAATCCTGAAGACACATTATTTAAAAGAAATCACAATGCATAGGACCCTGTATAATGTCTAACTGCAATTACAAGAACTATCCCAACAAGAAACCTATAGGAGCAGGAAGCAGAGGGACAGCTGGCTCCAGCTGAGGGAAACAGGGGAGTGGGGTTTCTTTTTCAGGTTCCGAGACAGTTCTAAAGCACTCGGCATGGCAGCCCCCGGCTTGACTGAAATGGGTGAGCTGAATATAACGTGAATTGCACACAGAAAAGCAAAGCATAAGCCACCAGGAAAACCAGAGTTTCATGCTGCGCCTACAGCAACGAGGAAGGTCAAGGTTGCTAGCTTTGCTCAAGGGTAGACAAACAAAAGCATACATGAATATATATATGCAAGGGTGGGGCCTAAGAGGCCATGACATTAGATGGAAGCTTCAAGCTCCTTTCTCCACCAGGAAAATATCAACTGGCAATCTCAGAGACCCCAGTATTTGGAGAATTACTGAAGTGTGGCTCCCTCCTATAGCCCAAGGCCATATGGAAAGGAGGTCCCTGGGTTCATTTCTAGATGCCCTAGCATCTTGAGACATGTTCCAGGAGGCCCATTCTAGTCTCATTTTGGTGACACTGGCTTTAATAACATAACTGTAGCAGCTAAGAATGATGGAATCAGAGAAAGGAAGTGGAGTCACAGGGGCAAGCACTGTGATGGTGTCATGGTTGGCACCTCTGTGTAACTGCTGTCTACAACACTTGATCAAACAGCTGGCATGGCAGCCTGCTCACCAAGCTGAACTGGTCACTTTCAGAAGCACTGAGGAAACTCAGCTTACCCTGAGTTCCTGAACAGCTAGCTGGTCTTCATGCCCAGTCAGAGCGTGTCCCAGTGGCCCTACCCCAGCAGAGAGATGCTCACCTCTGTATGTCACTAGCACACAGCAGACATGCTTATCCCAAGCAACCAAAGCAGCAGCTCCTGTTAGCCAAAAAGCCTTCCAAAAATCTTGCCTAGGAACAAGATTTCCCAGCCCCACACTCTCTCCAGTGGCTCTGGGCCACTGCTGTATGAACTTAGACAGTGTATACCAAACCCCACCTCAGCCGCATCCTAGAAGCTGTCTCCAAGTGCGAATTTTTAAGGAGCACAGGCTGTGTGCCCACTCATTCTGAACAGCAGCTCTGCCTAACCTGGGATCTCGGCTTACACCTCTCTCCAACTGCACTTACAACTAGTTTGATTATGAGTGCTTGGGCCAGAAGTTGCCACAGCACCAACTTGCAAGACATCCAAGCAGAGACTCCGGCAACTTGGTCTACGTTGTCACCAGATGGCCCATGCTAGCCCAAATAGTGTTCACCCCTGCTAAGCAACACCCAGAATGGCCAGAAGAGGGTGCTGTTTCTAAATCACAAAAACTCTAGGGACAGAGGGATGGGGTGGGCATTTCCACTGCCACCGCCTGGTGAAGGCTATGACAGTTCCAATAGTGAACAATACAGAAAGAGATCTACCAAACATGGTTGTCAAAGAATTCAGAAGAATCTTCACAAGAATATGCAGAAACAAATCTGCCCATGCATGGTGATTCAGGTCTATAATTTTAGTTACTCTGGAGGCTACCTAAATTCAAGGCCTACCTAAGCAACTTTGTAAGACCCTGTCTCAGGAAACTAAGAGTCTCAGTGCATATGCCAACATCCATGTACCTACAGAAGTAGTCACCAGTGAAATCTAACCCCAACCATCAAAGCTCAAAAACAAAGGAAAAAAAAATCCTGAAAGCAGAAAGAGACAAGAAATCTAACACATATAAAGAATATCAATGCAGCTATTAAATTTCTTAACAGGAACCCTACATGACAGGAAACTGACGTAATATATTCAAGGAATTGAAGGGGAAAGAACGGCAAGAACATCCTACAAAGCTGCCTTTCAGAAATGGAGAAATGAGACTGGCAAGGTGCCTCAGTGGTAAGGCAACGTGCTGCCAAGTTTGAGTTCAATTCCCAGGGAAAGGGAGAACCCATCCCCAGAAGCTGACCTCTGATCTCCATGTGTGCAATGGCTCAAGCATGGTCACCCATACTCTATGCACAGCACAAATGTCTAAACTCTATATAAACAAATGTTCTTTGAGCTGAAAT